AAAGTATCAACCCCAAGCTCCTGCTTATCTCTGCTGTCCGGTCTCCACCAAGCAGCCGCAAGCCAAGGGTGGAGAGAGCCCCAGGTGTATCGGAGGAGGGCCGTCCATCCGAACACCTCTCCAGCCCCACACTTCCCAGGCCTAGCAATGCCCTTCATCTCAAAATGCCCTCAGCCTCCATGAGATGGTACCTGGCTTTTTTTTCACAGCTTGTCATACAGCTGACCTGGCTGACGCTGAGGTTCTGCATCCTGCGGCATTTGGAGGAAGAACTGCAGTCAGCCCTGGAAATGCTGCTCGTGGCTAGGCCAAACGAAGGATACAAAGGGGGACCCTGCCAATCACTGGATTCAGTGCACACCTCGTAAAGGTAAGCAGGATTATGGCCCAAGTCACTGGCATCATCCCAGCTGCTGGCAGGAGTGAAAAGAGCACTTAGAACCACCCAGTTCACCTGAATGCCTGAATTACCTCAGGCTGAAGAAGGCTGATGGGTACCAGATCAGACAAACCTAGACGCCAGTATCTACGCTCCCTGCTTACCAACTCTCAAGAGTGTGCAAGCTGCGAGCAGCTCAGGAAGGGATCTGCCGGCACCACCAAGCTTCCCCTCAAGCCCACGTTGGCTTTGCACTCAGATACACGAGCCGCTTAGTTTTTATCCCACCTGGCTGCTGTCAGATCTAGCTTTGCGGGCAGCAGCAGCTCATCCAAGGTGAGTGCTACAGTCCCCTGAGAATGCACTCAGCCTGTCTCCATCAGGAAAGACACGAACCCAGCTTCTCAGCACATTCGTTTTCAGTGTAAGTACCAGTGATGCTTCTTTTTTAGCTGTCTACCATGACACGCTGCAGTAACGAATGCTGCAGGTAACACACTTTGCGGCCCTTTGTTGGCAAGACGCCAAGGACTGCTCGCTCCAGCTACACCTCATCCCCTCTTCACAGCAGCTCTCAAGGCAATGGCTCGGCACACTTGAAGTGTGTCCGCTCAGGTCACCGGCTCCTCTTGCCCTAGCCAAGTTCTCACCTCAGAGAGCAGGACAGTTCTCCTGTTCAAGGCTTCCAGTCTGAAAGTATCAGCAATGAAAAGAACGCAAAAGGAAGCTTTCAGGCATTATGAAGGTTTAAAGCGAGGGTTTTTTTCATTGCATGGTTCTTCTTCACTTTTCGCGTCTAACACAATCAGCACACGAGAATCTCGGCTCTGAAAGGTTTGCCTGGTGCACAGCAACTGTGCAAACAAAGGACGAGTGCGGTGAAAACAGAGGCAAAAGAGTTTTGCAACAAAAATCTCCCCGACTAGGGAAAGGGTAGTCCAGGAGTGGAAACCTTGGAGACAGGAACTCATTTTGGGATGGCAAACAGGGTTCTTGTGTTTCTCTGAGCAAACAGAGTTCCTCAAAATGACCCAGGGTGAACATACTGGGATATGAAAACCGATAAACATTGTAAACTTAACAAAATACAGCTGAGATGGAATAAACAGAAAAGAGGTGGTTTGAAAGTGCTTATTGTTCATGGCCTTGGGAAAGTAAGAGATCTGCTTTGTTTTTTTAATTATTACAGTGTCATCTGTTTTCCCTGTGTAATGAATGCTCATTTTCCAGTTCATAAAATTCACGATGATCCACAAAACATGTCTAACAATGCTGCATTCCCTTTTTCTGGCTGGAAAGTAATTTTGGGTGGGGTGCCAAGAATTGCACACTCCACCTCCGCATCCCAAGGGAGAATCAGCTGGGCTTCTGCAGATGCATCCTACCCGGTTTTGGCATTTATCATGAAACTGGAGTTCCCGTGTATTTTCAGGCTCTCCCCCTCTCTTTATAAAGATTGCCTAACACCTAACCTAAACTTACCTTTCTGCATTTCAAGCCCTTACGTGTCTTATTT